TCGTTGTGGCAGAGGGACGGTTGGGACTTGTCTTTTCCAGCATATCACGCAGTATGCCTCCGCATCCCCTCTCCCAACATAACTGCGAAGTTCACCATTCTAAACTCAAGTGTCTGAGTTAACCTACGTTGGTTGTTGCCACCTGCTCGACAACTGGCTCTTGGAAGACAAATGCTCAACATCTTCATGTGTGCAAACAATCGCAGAAGGCACGCAACATAAACATATCACGGCAAGGATGACGCAACAACGAGGAGGCGTCTTTTTGTGTGTTAGAGTCTTTCTGCACACAAAGCAGCAGAACTACAACCAGAATCAGTCAAGATCGAGATCGGTTGTCAGCACACCCGACAACGAAAAGCAGAGATACAGCGGTATAAAGCGAATGACGGTAACCAAGTCTCCCCGAGCTGTGGGCCCAGCTCTAATACGCAAAATGTCATTTGACCCAAACCCACAGCGTCACAGCGTCACTGGTAAGCCTCTCTGCGGCACCAATCATTACCAAGCGTTTTAGACCACTCCAGTTGTACGAATAAAAGCCTCGGGCGTTTGTCAGTTTTAGGAGCAGTGGTGACTGGTGGTTTTTTAGCCGTGGCTCGTGTCGAAATTGTCCGCAACCTGGAGGTTTTGATTATGGAGGACGGAGATCACTCTACCTCGCCGCCGCCAAACTCTTAGCGCGCCAGGCTTTCCACACCTGACATGCGTTTTGAGCCTTCATGACAAGGTGTGTCACACCTACGTGGGCAATCGGCTGCCCAGACCTGTATTAACCGTGTATCAGTGTTGAACACGGCGGCGACCCCCCTCGTGAACGTGTTCTGTAGAAGAAGCCTAGCGACGGGGGTTCGATGCGTCTACAGCAAGCGGAAATCGACCCATCCAGGTCATCGTGCGCGCCTGCCGTCGGCGGAGTTGCTACGCCACTCGTCACCCGGCGAACTCCTGGCGTGCGGCATGCTGCCTTTGAAGAGGTCAGTCGACGTTCGCCTCTCCACGGGCATCTTAAGCTGGGGTCACATGAAAATGTGATTGCACCATTGCATGCAAACTTCACAGCAGTAGTGTCCAGGAATCGTGGATGAAGGATAAGAAGAACGGAACCGCGGTCAAAAAGTTGTGCCCATTTGTGAATGCCACACTCGGTGAGCTTCGTCCAGGAGCACCCCCAAGCACATGCTAGACTTGAGTACATCGAAGCCGCAGGTATGAGCTCAGAAGACAAAGGCTGCTCTCAGCGTTGAAGAGGCCTCCCAATCTTGCAAATTGTATCGGGCGAGAATCACGTGGAAACGCGCGTTCTGCTGTACTGGGTTCAGATTAGGTGCTTTTCCGGCGACCGGGCTGTGGGCATGCAGGAACATCTGCCTGAGTGACTTCTTCGGCTGCGTTGGCTTCCTGCCGCTCACCACCCAGAGGTGCGAATGAAGCTTTGGTGGCACACACTAAAGAGGGAATAAGTGCACCGCACCCTTGCCCGAGAGTGTTTGTCTCGTATGCATGAATTGTCGAGGGGGGCGCCACCGATTCGTCCGAGTGATGGTAGCTCGTACCCTACACCCAATCGCAATCGCAATTCAAGTATTCCTCTGCGACGTTGCTGTTGCTACCTATCACATCCGCGGAGCAATGGTGAGGATGATGGCCCTCTCCACTGCCCAGCAGCCAGGGGACGCTCCGCATGACTGCCTCGAGGCCGGCTCAGCGCCATCCTCACCGAGGATGATATTACCAATTGGAATCAGCTTTCGATTGGACCGTCCGCTTGCACTTTTTGGTGTGCAGTTGGTTTTGGGGGCTCTAGTGAAGGGCAGCCCCGTTGATTCGGTTAGAAAAAGTGGCAAGTTTGTCACCTACGCGGTACGAGGAGATGCACCGCTGATAGTTAGTTACCTGTACCTGCCGACCATCACGAGATCGAGCTGCTACATTTGTCGCTGGTCAAGACATCGCCCGCGAATCGTACCTCCCCAACGTGTCGCCAGAGGTCGCGGCCTATCTCCAACTGGCGGGAGATGCGCTGGCCACCTGCGTTGGTCCTGTGAATGTCGAGGTAGCCAAGTGAGTTGCACGGACAAATTGCATGCAACACGAGGGCATTCTGTACCACGAATCATGCGTAACGTGGTCATTTGCAGGTCGTAGGTGATTTTAGGCCACGTACCGTAAAAGTGCGTGTAATGGCACCGGGGTGCGATCATGTTTAAATCATTTCTATCTTGGTATTTTATCGCACCACGGTGCCATAACACCGATACCGGTGCGGAAATGCAATTTAATCATTTCGTTCTAGATTTCGAACGAACCCCCGGTGCGATGACACCGATGGGTGCGATGTGGAAAAAATCACAGTGGCCATGATGCGGTGCTTAGTGGGCGCACCACAGTGCGATGACACGGATAGGTGCGATACTCAAGAAACGAACAGGCGTAGATGTCTTCGTCTTGCGTGCTGTAACTCTTACAGTAGGAGCTTGCGTAGACGGTACCATGCAACCAGCCCGGAGTAATGATAGTGATGAGGTCGGATCCGAGTTTGGTGTGGCGTGCGCCAAAGGGAACAGACGCTGTGGTTCCGTGCTGGCGAAGGTATGTATACGGCGGGGTATCGTTTTTCTTCCAGTCTCTTTGTTGGTCGCAAGCCCCGCTTTTGTTGGCTGGTGCTTCCCTCTGTCTTTGTCTGCCTCAAGGGGGATGGTACCGGTACAACTGTAGTACCGTTCACGAACTCCTTCTTGTGCTGTTGGTTGGAGGTGCTGAATGTGTACTGCTGTGTGCTTGGTTGAGTGAGTGAGTGCGTTCGATGTACGAATTACCGTAGAAAAAACAAAAAAATCATTTCTACTGCGCAAACCACGATGGTACGATATACATCAATGAAATGGCGCCCCAATTGGTACCTGCCAACCGCGTTACATACTGTTCGACACGTGGCCCAGAGGGTACCGGTACTTCGCGGAAGCACGCAAAATTTCGTCCTTAGCAGATTTTATGTCGTTGATATCGCACCGGTGCGATAACACCGATTCCGGTGCGGAAACACAATTGAATCATGCCGTTCTTGATATTTTTGTGCACCCCGGTGCCATAACACCGATGGGTGCGAAATCACCGATGGGTGCCATCACACGCACTTTCACGGTATATCGTTGCAAACATAGCACGAGCAATCGTCGTTTCCTGGCCAGGAAATCAAGGCTTAATACCTTATTTCACACCGGTTTTGTGAGACTCGATTGCTCCGCACCAGGGAGGTTGGCAATACCGACCGATACATGGTTGGAAAACGTTGGAATGGTACGCTTCTGACGCCACCCTTTCCGGCATTGACGCTCTCGTCTTTTCAAGATATCCAGCGTGCAATGTCAGCCCGGGGTTTGCGGCGTCTTGTACGTATGGCATACGTTAGTCCTTCCCCCTTACACCGCCAGCCCATCTCCTCTCCTCGCGTCAAAACTAACTCAGGGCGTGGGCGATCCTGGGGCACTTGTACGGTTACATGGGAGACACGGTGAGCTCGATTCCGGGGCAAGTACGACACCCTTGATCGTCATTCGGCGGCTTACACACGTTATGCCGAGACGCTCATGTTTCTCGACGATGGAGCCAGTCGCCGTAGCCTCCCCAATATTTCCGTTGTCAAGGACACCTCGAGAATCGGAAATGGTCTACTGGCACTGGATGTCATCTTTTGACCCGCCGACCATTGCTCGCCACGACGTATGCATACGTTTGTCTTTGTTTGCTGCAGGTGAAGTTTCAAGAGTCGTGATGCTTTCGCACTCGTTTTTGACTGATTCTATCAAGTAAGGGTCAGCTGACATGCTCCCAGCGGTGAGTGTGGCGTCTCTTCCTCTTGTTGAACACAGCAAAGCCTAGAGCTCCTTTCTCTGCCAGACGAAACTGGTCCTATGATACCAACGACCGCTATCTTTCCGAAGAACTCAGACCCAGTAGCAGTCGAAATCCCAATTCCGGTAGTTTCCTTTACGCCGACACTACCCTATATTGTAGCAGCACTACTGTAGTGGGTATCGCGAGACTGTTCTTGCTATTAAAATGAACAGTGATATATTTATGTTGGCTGGTCGTTAGCAGCAGAGTCTGTTCGGGTGTTATTTTCCCTTCTTTTTCCAGGCGGCTGTTCGACTTCGAGAATCTTTCATGTTCTTTGAAGCAGCTCTAACATTTTCAGCACAGCCGTAGCGGGTAGAACAGCGGAGAACACCTTGCTTGGTCACAGGTACCCATATATATATATAGTAGTTTCGAAAACGCACGTCTGTACTCCGTGGTTGCGCTTGCTGCACGCTGGAGGAACAACAACACGCCCGCGAGAAACGTCTGAACCGCTGAGTAAAGCGGGTAGGCCATTCAAGTACTGTGGTAATCTAAGAAGTGGGACGCGTTGTGGCTCGAATCCTGATGATTGATGGTGCAGAGGTTACCTGTCTGTCTATCGGTCCCATTTGCCCTCTCTTCAACTCAGAACAACACCCGCCGCCTGTTTGTTGTTTTTCTCGTTTCTACTGTAATCGACTCCTACGTTTGTGCCTCTGTGCTGCTGCTGCTGCTGTTTTACACTGCTGCTCGGGTCTTTGCTGCTCATATTGCATTATTACACCTCATCCCTGGCTCTCACCCTTCGTGGGGCACAGGAAAACAAACACTGTGGCACCCACGACCCGCAGCACAGCTGCACGGAGTCGGAAAGTTGGACCGACCATGGAACGACGTATTATGAACGTCGAACAAATATTGACGACAAATAGGTCTGCACCCAGGTCGCTGCGGACGTGAGTTCGTTGATGTTGCGGAATGCGGAAGGAACGAAAAGTGTGTACTCTAAAATATACGTATCTGTCTTTGCTCTTTGCATGTTCTTGCATCACCCCCTGCCGCGGTGTTCTCTGTACCCCACTCCGGAGGGACGCCTTATCCTGTTATCGTCACGTTTGCAGTCGTGCGTCACCGCTGAACTCTCGTTTACACACCGCATGCGCATGGGCCACGGGTTTGCCGAGATAGACCGTTACAAGGATACTGTCAAGGTGTTTTCCGGGACTGTCGACGCTGCCGGTATCGGCTCTTTGGGCGCCCGACGCGACATCATCCGCAGGTGTGTCCCGTACCGCATAGCTGAAATGGATTGGCCCAGACGGTACTTTGTGCTCGCGATCTGGGACAGCACCCATCAAGCCTCCGTGACGGCAAGGGGGGCGAGCTCCTGGAGCACCCGTATACGAATGGCGAACTAATGTAGACGCCATCGAATGTCGCCAAGCAAGATGGTTACGTCACCCCGACGACGACGTAAGCGAGCGCCGTTGCTTTCCGTGCGAAACGTGCATACAGCACGTTTGATTGCAGCAGCGATGTGGGAAGCCGTCACTCAAATGTTCGCAGCATGCCATACCCGTAACGACAAACAGGCGTAGGAGATTGGGCAGTCGACAAAAGACATCAGCACTCTTACAGAACCTTGTGCGCGCGACCATACCAGCATGGGCATTGAACAACACAAAAACACACATTTGTGGTGGTACGCTAAATCCATGTCATATTTGGGTTCGCTCGGCGTTAGAGTTTGGGCGATGGAATATTTGTTTGGGGATGTCTGGGCTATCCTGTTTGTATTGTGGGGTAGGTTTTCCTGCCGTCATTTGTTGTCAATTTCTCGGACCTTTGGTGGGCATCTCGGTTTGTACGCCCGCTATTTGTGGACAAGGGTTCGGAGAGTGCTGAACGACGCCCTGGGGAAACGTCAGATTGATATTGGTGTGAACACAATAGTAATGAAAGCAGCAACAGCGATAACCGAACATGGCAGCGATTGTGTCGAGCACCCTTCGTTGGACTCTGTGGGCACCTCGAGGCGATTCGCGCTCGACACGATGCCTACCTCTATGGCAGTCGGTCGACTTCCAGTGGACATACATCACTCCGGCTTAACAGGGAGACGAAGTTTACGGTAGTATTGTAAGATCGTGCATGGTGACAGGATCTGCGCCTCCACCCTCTTGTGCTGCTCCTTTTGGTCCAGATCAACCAAGCTGCAGGCGAAGACTTATTTCGATATGTTGTCAGGTCGCTCGCGGCGTTCGAGCAAACGGTGCTTGAGAAAGCTTGCGAGAAGAGTGCGACTCGCAGGCACCGGAGCAGTGATGGGCCTCCCGAGGAGGACAGAGGCAGCGCTAGCCCGCACTGTAACGCCGCTCGCAAGGCGGAAGATGTGTCTGATGCAACGATGACTGGCTTCAAAGATGGCCTGATCGACTTGGAACACCTGAAAGAAGCAGTCGATCGGTGAGCAAAATTTCAGCCTGCCTATGTAACGGACGATTTAAGAGTGATATGGGATATCTCCCTACGATGACGAAGAGGCTCATGCTATGCAGCCCCTTTGTTGGTTGACCCCTCTCGTATTGACGAAACAAGGTCATTCCTGCAGCTCCTCTGTTGGTCAGTCCCTACTTCTGCAGGCGATCGTATCAGCATGGAGTGTTCCTGTATTTTTACACGCACCCTTGTTTCCCTTTCCCCTCGTGGCCGGCCTTCGCCCGTATGGCGAGCAGATCAAACATTCGGACGGGCATGGGGGCCCTCCTCATAAACATGTATATAAACTTGATGTGATACAAAACAACACAAGAGCATGCTGTTTTTTTTGCGTGCGAGGTCTCAGACTTATGGAGTTACGGGCCCTACCGCCTCCGCACTGCTACAAGAACAACTCTGGGTAGTGCAGAAGGTGCATAACAAGTGCAGTATTATCGAATGATGACTCACGAGGTGCTACATAACAAAGTAAGTATGTTTTTTTGGATCTCGACAATGCCACGTCCTGTATCTACCAGGAACTTGGTATTTAAACGAGCAGCGAACGGGGACGCTGGTGGGGCGCTGGAGAGGTTAGGATGTTGCGTCGAGGTATTCGAGCGGTACCCTTGCGTGTATCGCTTCATGTTACAGTGGTGAGTCGTTCGCATGAACATCACCGCAAAGTGATACTCTGGCTGCGATTCGTGGTGGTGGCGAGTTCTGGAAAAAGCTTCGCCGCGAGTCTGGACGAGGATTAGTACCCCTGAAGTAGTCAGCACTGTTGTTTGGTGGGCTGTACGGTCCGACATTGCATGCTAGTTCTTCTCATGTTGTTTTTCTTCTCTTGTACCTTCCGCCGTGTAAAGGTGTCACCTTGCGCACGCTGCCCTGGCAGCCCTAGCAGCGATTGATGATTCCAGAGCTCGAGAGCTGTATAACCGGTTGCGGGAGGCCTACAATCCGTCGCTCCCCACTGCCTCTCTGCCGGTGCCACCTAAGGAGGAGTGGCAGGGGCTGGTTACATTTTGTCATGACTTCCAGTGCAGGTGCGTGGGGGCGAGGGAAAGCCAACAAAAAGCAGAGCTCACGGGTCCACTCGGGCAGCTGAGCCACAAGTGTTCTGTAGGATGGCCCGTTTCGGCGGTTTTATTTTTGGCTCAAATCTCAGTGAAATTGTTTCGCTAGAGCGCTGAGCAAGGAGCTTGGCGTGACAGTGTGGAAGCAGTATTCGAACTCGCCCTTGCTGGATCTCCGCTGATTCGTCCATAATTCTTTGCAAGTTGTTTGAGGGTATCGTCGCGAGAAAACCCGACTGTACCAGCAACTGCGAAGGCTTGCAACAGACCCTTTGCAAGGACGAAGATTTACGGTTTGTCGGTGAGGAACATCATGGAAGCGTGTCGGCGGGGGTCATTTCCGAGGACGTGGTCAGCTCGATCACGATTTCCCCTTGCAGCAACGCCGACACACCAATGGCATCTACTGCTAGCTCGTGGGAGTTGAACGCAGAGTCTGCGCCACAGATGAACCCAGGATCGAGCTCGTCTGCTTCACATGCCCACCGTGAATCGGGCAGGGGAGGATTAGGCAATACGGGCGTTTTCGACGGTGCGGTCGAGGGGTGTGGTGGCGGCGTCTTATCTGGCTTGGTGGCCCAAGTTCCGGATATGGCCTTGACATCGCCGGGGTTGAGAATGGTAGATGGGACCACACGGGAGACCAGGCACAAAACAATTGCCGAAGCAGACTGGCAGGATGTTGCTTGTGTGTTGGATGCACTCGACGAGAAGAGTCCGGTGCTTTGACGTTGGTCACCTTTTGGTTGCTTGTGCTAAGCTCTCATGCGACGTGGCGGCTCTTGAATGTATGTACGAAGCTTCATCTCGAACGTACGCTATCATATTAGCCCAGTTGGCAGAACAACCTGTACACAGCGAGTTTTTTGTTTGGGGTCTGATGCTAAGGTATCCCTCCTTGGAGGCACCTTCCGTGTTTGTCGAAATAGCCGTGCAACGCATCTCTTTGGGAGAAATGACACAGGAGATGCTACCGAACGCTCGAAAACACCGACACTTGGATGATTTCACTGCCCTTGAGCAGCTCGCCATTTACGTCCTTCTCGCGGACCCCCTCCCCCCCTCGGCTTCATGCGACTCGCCAAATATCTGACGGCGCTTTGCGCTTGGTGATGTGAGAGCTCTGGAAGTGAAAGCACCGGAAAATAAATTTAGTCATACGCAGCTCTCATCCGTACGCAAGGAAGTAAGCACAAGATGCCGAAAACCCTCATCAGGATGCAGCGCAACCTTCATGCGACTTGCCGAATACCTCACGGTGCTTCGCGCTTGGTGGTGTGAGAGCCTGGTCCGGTGAGAACCCGGCGTGCTCCGCCCCGGCTTTGTAGGGACGCGAGGTCAATGGTCTAACGACTACTGCATACACGACTATGAGTACTATGAGCACCCCCCCCCCCGGCTGTCATCCGTACGCAAGGAAGTAAGCACAAGATGCCGAAAACCCTTAGCAGGATGCAGCGCACCCTTCATGCGACTCGCCGGATATCTCACGGCGCTTCGCGCTTGGTGATGTGAGAGCCTGGTCCGGTGAGAACCCTGCATGCTCCGTCCCGGCTTTGTAGGGATGCGAGGTCAATGGTNCCAAGATCATGAGTACAACTGACGATCGTAAATGACGAGTGAAATGCATAGAAACAACGTCTATTGCAGAGCTCTTGGCAATTGGGTGTTGGTGTCCGTCCTTCTATGCTTGGATGACGGGCCACAGGGTTTCCCTTCTCCACTGATACCCAAGAAACACAAAGCTTGAATAATGGTGCTCTTGTCGCCCTGCTGGAAGCGTCTTCGCGACAAATGAAGCGTATGAGGAAATATAACAGGGGGGGGGTACGCAGAACCTATCCCTAACACAATCCCTAACCCAACATGTTTACATAATAAAACAAGCGTGCGAAGGCTACCGCCCTGCTGGTGCAAGGCCATTTCAGTTGTCCTCGTCGTCTTCATCGTCACCATCGTCGTCATCGTCGTCATCTGAATCATCGTCTCCATCGTCATCCCCGCTCGAGTCTACGTCGTCTTCGTCTGAATCATCATCATCGCCTTCGGATCCTTCCTCCTCCATGTTTGCGGCTGCGCTGTCACCGCCGATGCAGGTAGCACCCGCCCGACGCATGTCGATCTTTGTCAGAGGTAGCTTGTCCCCGGCGGCTTTCCCCTCTTTCATGTAGTACTCCAAGGGCTCCATGCCGGACTCACCAGCCGCAGGGTAGAGCTGCGCTCTCAAGCAAGGGGAGGAGGGGGGCGGCATAAGTTGGGATGACCCGTGCTACGCATCCGGAACTAACGGTGTCTCGTGGGAGACGAGGGTACGATCGATGACTTGCACTGGCGAACATATCCTACTGGACATGAAACAAAGCCACCACGTCAAAAATCTATAGCTCTCTAAACAACGAGTGACCGCTACGTGTACAGTAGCCAAAACAACGTCCAACAAGAGGGATAAAACGTGTCGCACAAACGGTATCTATGCGATTTGCTTGTCCTTCTGCCGTGTGCTTACTTCCGAGACGGACATACTCCTCCGTCAACAAAGAAAACGGCGACCGATCACACGCGACGAAAAGTGACTCCAGACGCCCACAGATGATCAGCGTCCATTAAATAGAGCCGGGACCGGGTGCACTTGCTTCAAGCAGCATCCAACAAAGGACGGAACCAGGTGACAACGGTACCTACACGCAACACACGGCCGTTCAGCTGACGGCCAGAAACGTCCTTGACAGTTTCATCCACCAATGATTGTCTTTATCGGCCAGACCTCTAGATATGCCACTGTTTCCTTGCACTATCTCTCGTTGTTCCCCCTGGAGTCCTATATACTGCGGAAACGCACGCACACACCTCGAGGAATACATCCAAGTCCACCATGCCGTCGAACACCCCGACTCCTGTCTGCATCCTGAGCTTTCGGCCATCCTTGAAGCCCAGGGTGCAGAAGTGCTGCAGGGGGGTTAGCGCGTGTCCCTTTACCTTAATGTGCAGGCCTTTGCGGTATCCCGCCCTGAAAAAGTGCCTGAATTTCTTCTGGTACTTTCGCTTGTACCACCTGAAAGGGCGAACACGACGCCGGCGGCGGGGGGGGCTATGGTCGTGTTTGGCTCCAGTGGTCAGACCATACATAGATCCTACTAGTCCCTAGGATGCGGAGATGGGGGGGGGTACTCATCGCCGTGCACGTCGCAGCGCGAATTCGAAGTACAAGCGAGGCAGCAGGTGAGTTTTCTACCGGTCAGACACGCGTTACGTCGCCAAGTTCCGTTTCATTCGAAGGGAGGTAGGGTGAGGGGGTCATGGATGTCGGAACAGATGTACAAGTGAACCGTGAAGGCTGCGGTAGTCGTGTGGTCCACTGCAGGAATCCACCCTTCCAGAGTGGGGGATCGCTTTTCGAACGGGCAACATTGCAGCTTGGACTACTGTACGACAACGAACATCTGGCCAAGATCAAGTCGGAGCGTACCGTGAGCTTGTGTGAAACACACACCTGAAATTGAGTAGAGCTACTGGGAAATCACTTCTTGAAAGAGCAGTCAACACTATGCTTAGAAAGAAGACACGCGAAAATCACGTATTACGACAAGGTGTGTCGAATTCGATGATGTTCATATCGCACAGGCCGCGAGAAAGGGATCGCTTGAAACGGCACCGACAACAACAACAGCAACAACGGCACAAACCTCCTGTTAACCTTGCCCGCTCTTCCGCGCACGCAGATTTCGTTCCGCCTGTTGGCCTTGAAATGCTCGAACGGCTCCAAACCCTCGTCCTCGATTTCCGGGTGCAGCTTCCTGCCAGGAGGGTGGGGGCACGAGGGTTGTTGTTTTGCGAGAGAAGAAGGTAGAGGCGGGGAGGGCATCGTGGCTGCTTCGGGTCAGGGATGGGAGAGGGGAAGAGAAAAGAGATGAGGAAAGGGCAGGGGTGGGTGCACATGCTAGACCCAAGTACCCACAACTGACCCATGGAGCATGCGAAAACGTACGTAGAGTTGAAAGGGCATAGAGTTCGCGGCCGGCAAGGCACGGGAGAAAGCAACATGAATTGGAAGAGTTGAACAGGCTCTGTCGAGAAAGACCGATGGCACCTTAAGCAGAGAGCGGCAGAGAGACGCACAATGCAACGCAACACGGCACACAAACAGCAGTGCTGCTGCTCCTCGTCACCTGTAGCCCTCGTCATCGAACTTTCCCGGCCGCGGGGGTTCCATCTCCTGCTTGGCGTTTCTGTTGACACTGATGTACTTGCGGTGGTTGAAATCCCCAAGGAGGTAGATCGGGACGACCTGTGCAGCACCAACGAACGGCCGCAGCGAACATTTCCGCATCAACAATAGTCGCACTGTCATGAACACCATCACCGTCCCTAAGGCCACCAAGGCCCTCAACTCCAACAATTGGACCGACCAGAAACCAACACCGACATCGCCCCAACAACAACACCACCACCACCACCAACAACAACAACAATAACAATAACCACCCACATGCGTGATGGCGATGTCGAGACTCTCATCGCAACCCGTCTCCACGAAGTGCTTGAATCCGATCAGAGGCTTCTCGAACGGACGCCTTTTTCCGACGGCGCTGGCGTTGATGTCGTGCTTGTCCATGTAGGCAGACATGTCTACCACGCCCACGAAAGCGCCGAAGTTGTTGTCGATGCGCACGAGTCTTCCCTCCGAGAAACCGCTCTCTGAATTGATGCGGCCGTAGAGTCCGCAACAACCGGCCGCAAAGAGGGATGGGTAAAAAAGTTAAGTGTACCTGCCCACGGGGGGGGGGGATGACGGTGATTCGATGCCTTGCTCGCCCGCAAGTGGGCGTGTGCAGCCCAGCTCACCCACTCGCTGGAGCTTTGCATCGATGAATGCACCTTAGGTTAGGTTCTAAATATGTCGCTCCCAGTGGATTCGCTTCTTTCACCCTCTTACGGAGGAGTACATTGGGTTTAAGGGAGATGTAACCGTATAACTGTGGGATTCGGCTACAATGAAAGTTGAGTAGCTGAAGTTCTTTCGTCCTGTCTTCAATGTGATGGTTTTGATCAGTTGAAAGTTTCCGTGGTGCGTTACGGACTTCGTTGGCCTCTCTCACCGTGTTTTAGACGTTGCTGCCAAGCGGTCGGAATCGCTTTGAGTGCCCTGGCGTTTCTTTCTGGCGCGCATCGCGCGTCTTTGCAACCATCGTCGGTGAGAGCAACAACAACCACCAAAACGACTCCAACACGACTCCAACACCACCAAGAGCAACAGTTATCACTCACTGCGGAAGTGCGACCAGCCGTGCTCTCCCTCGATGTCCTCGTTGTGCTTCACGTATAGCTCCGAGTCCCACTTGCCCCAAACGGTGAGACCCTCGATGGCGTCACTGCCGTACCTACGAGGGAGTATCGTTCTCAAAAGAATCATCACGAAAGCAGCAGCTGCACGCATGTTCTCCGGCAACGTTCGCTGCTTTCGAGGTTTGTGTACAAAAGAATCATCATGCAATTCAGCAAGTTGTATGTATACGCATGCACTCATGTACTGTTCAACGCTTTTGAGGTTCTTCTTGGTCGCGCTTCTCTCGTTCTTGCCGTATTCTGGGGGGACTTTCTTCGAAACATGGCACTTAATATGTAGAACCATTCTGTAGGCGCCGCATTATTTCCGAACAATATACCGACCATGACGTCAGCAATAGTGCACGATTCGGAGCGTATCAGCAGAAACAACAAAAGTATAATCAATGGCATTTGAGTCGTTTCTGCTTTTCACTCCCACCTTTCCTCAGCAAACACCACCTGCTCGCGCGAAGCTCTGGCCATCTTTTTCACCTTTAAAACAACATAGCAATATTACCACGGGGGGAATCATACATCGGTAAGGGGAGCATGGAGGGGAGATAAACGCATGAAGACAATACAAACAGACGTTGAGCCGTCCTCCAAACGGCGGCGGGCGGCCAAATATTACGGCCACCAATGAGGCGTCGTTGTCTCGGGCATTTGCAACCGCCGCATTAATCCCATCGCTGAATACACGAAAGTTTGGGTCACTCAACTAGGCTCCTGGTCAGTGGCCGAGGAAAGACTTCAAAAACTAATGCGAGTTCAAAGTAAACAAAGAATTGTGAACCAATAGAGAGTTTTGTTTACGGGGCAAGGGCTAAGTCGCCCGCTCGCCGCCAGCACAAGAGGCATGCTGACGATTTTTATCACAACACGACGTACCCTCTGAGCGAACATCCTCCTCTTCTTGGCCTTCTCCTTCTTCTTTTTCTCCACCTCGGCCTGGCGCTTGGCCCTGACCATTCTAGCCCGCATGCGCTTGGCCTTTTCCCTCTTGGCAGCCCTTTTGGCCGCCTGGCGCTCCTACAGGACGTGGTTCCGCACACAAATGAGAGCGTTCGTGAGGGTTCCTAAGTTGGGGTTGAGTATGCTTACCTGACCTCTCGAAATATTTCGTCAATCTTAGCGGGCGCGCGTTCGGGGTTGGCCCTCATCTTACCCAGACCATATATACGTATCGTGCTCCTAAGGACTCTCCTAATAATAGGGAGAAGGCGCCAGAGGGGTACTCGTTCGCGTTTTGGTTTTTCATTGTGGCAGTTGACCACGCATTATCCCTTCCGAGACGGACCTACCTTATACTTCTGAAAGAGACACCGCCAACCTTCGGATTTTCTTCCGAATTTACACCGCGAATTGTTGTTTTTCTGTCCCCTTTCCCCCCGGGAGTTCCTTGCCACTATACAACCGAGTGGAGCGATCGGGCAGGACGGAGGGGATGCTCGCCTTTGTCTACTTGCTGCCTGGCTATTTGATTTTTCACGCGATTACTTATGATATTTTCGGCCCCCACGGTAGGCCGCCGAACGGTACGGTGGGGGGGGGGGGCGTGCTCAACCCCCTGCTTGTGCCGGGCATCCCTTCCAAGACCGATCACCTCTATTTTAATGTCGACCCGAGCCGTCATGAGCTAAATACACCACAACTAAATTCCCCACAAACGACAAATACCCCTGAAACCCATCCAATTCAGTCCTCCCGCCTTCTAGTGTACATTTTCCTCGTCACAGATGACACTACCATACATGGTAGGTAGTTTTTGACCAGAACCAACATATTCCGCCCATGACGGAACACATTATTTACTTGTGGAGGCACGCGCGGGGACAAGCAACACACGTACACACCTTCCTTGCTTCTTCCTCCTCCTCGTCGTCTGGTTCCTCCTCTTCTTCTTCTTCTTCTTCTTCTTCTTCCTCCTCCTCCTCTCCTTCGTCCGGCTCTTCCTCTCCTTCCTCAGGGTCTTCCTCCGGCTGCTCTTCTTCTTCTGGAAACAGAAAAGTTTTGAGGTTAAACAATACGGTCAAATATACTTGGAGGAAGGCATCGAAGGGGTAGACATGGCCTTTCAGTTTCTTGAAACAAGAAGTACATAACACTCAACTAAACTCGGTCTGCCTATGTAATGTCCACTTGTATTTGGTGGAACGCCCTTCTCTCAGCGTTGCAAACGAAAACGTGTTGAGAGCTGGCACAAACCTCTAAAAGAAAATTCTGAGGCAAACAATTCATCATTGGACGAAGGGTTAGGTCGTCCCTTCCGGTTAGGCAATAATAGCCATCCTTTTCGAAGGCCATGACAGTATCATCGGTAACGCCAAGCTTCAGTCCCCTCGGAGGTCGCGCAGTATTTAGGGACTGCAGCCAATATTTCTGATTCTATCAATGCAAAAGGACTACGCGCCCGTAACCTCAGACTTGTTCGAAACGCTTGTTGATGAAGATCATCAACTCGAAGTTTTTATCCAACCAAGCTTTTGGTCCTTGTCATTCACGGTCTACGGTTGCTTCTTCTTGTCGCACTTATGAAACCTTACCCTCTTCCTCCTCTTCCTCGGGTTGCCCTCCCTTGCGTGGTGTCTCTATCTCTCCCTCCTCCTCCTCTTCCTCCTCCTGCACAGCGGCAAACCCACAGACACAGGTTAGAACACCATAGAACAGAGACTGTTAGGGTACCGGGAACGACACTGCACGGCTCGATCAACCACTACCGATGATGCACACTGTGGTATGAAAAGGGGTTGACGTAGATATCAACAAACACTAACACTTTGTCACGCGGTCCTCGTGTGCGTTAATGTGTGTGGGACGCCATTGGGAGGTTGAAGGGCGGGACAATCATTCCAGGAGTTTCAGGGTGAGAACTGGCGACCTCGTTCGCTTGTTCGCAGCCCTAAAGCGACTTGACCATAAGGAAGGACAGCATCATTCTGTGCACGCGAGAGTCCTTCTACCATTGCCCAGGTATCTGAGCCAATACCAGACTAGAATCGCTTCCAATACCTACGAATGCTGTTGCTCGAATGACGGGGGCGGGTTATTCGTAGTCATGCATGACTGCAGTCTTCGAGTCATAGGCCGTTGTAATAGCCGGTACGGAAAGACTTGGCCGTCTGTTTACCTGGTCTTCCTGCTCACACGGCTCCCTCGCGATCCGGAAACCTTCTTTGCCGGCCGCGGGGTCGATGGCAGAAACCCAGGCGACGGTACCTTTCTCGAATTTTCCTGCATGGGTGGTGGCAGGGGCGGTTCGGCAATTGCGTGATTATGCCCCGTACTTGACGATGTTGTGTGCGTATACGTGAAAAATGTACGGCAAGAAAATTGTTTTAAGTAATTTGGCCATCAGCAACGACGACAACAACGACATCATCATCATCACCATCATCACCAGCAGCAGTAGCAGCCACAACCACAACAACGGCATCAACAGCACAATGACAACATTCACAGCAGCACCGATGTTGCCTACCTCGGAGCTCGTCCTTGAGGGCGTCAACAAGCGACTGGTCGTACTTCTGCTCGAACCGTTCAGCAATCAAACGGCACGTTTGCTTGTCGTTGCCGCCCAGGATGCGGCACACGGCATCCTTCAGGCAACAAGAGAGAGAGAGAGAGAGAGAGAGAGAGAGAGAGAGAGAGAGAGAGAGA